CATTTCTTATGTGTTGTGGTAGGATTCACCTAATTTGCATAGTGGAGTGCCGACCATATCAATATGGTTGGTACCGGGAAGACGAGGGAAGGAATCAAGTGATTCAATCCAGAGACTCTGCCCGACTGCGACTAAGTCAACACATTCTCCAGGAACGGTCTTCCCAAGAATATACCAAAAGACTATATGTAAATATTGTGTACACTTTCTTGTTTCAATACATTTTGTTCTAAGCACATTTTGTGTTGTATTATTATTCCATGCATTAGTCAAGTTTCAACATTATGATTGTATGAAAATGATGTGTTTTATTTCTTCTTACTGTTTTGTTTGTAATCATTGCAGAATTTATAAAGCCTTTTGTTAAAAAAAAAAAGTTATCTTCAGAAAGAAATTCATGAGCATGCATTTCCCAATCCTCTGCTTTACAACTGAATTATTGTCGTAAGTAAAGTCCGGTCATTAAAAAAAGTAAGTTATTAAGGAAACTGTGTTAAGTTTTATCCCAGATTACGAAGCCGCTTACGTCCTACCTTACTGTGATCTTCTTAAAAACAACTTATTTAAACATGTCCCTTGGGACAAGCTTGGATTTTACTCGCCTGTCACAACTGTCTACCCATCTTAAATCACTGTTCTGTTAAACAATGTCACTGATAACAAAATACCTACCGACATTAGGTGCAAAATTATTTAGGTATATATTGCACCGGCCAAGGCCATTCTTACAAGACGAAGAAAAAAAATTCTCTCTTTCAAAACAGGTGGTTGTAAAAGATAGGTTCTTCGTTTTATTACAGGAAAACTTAAGCGTTGTTTTTCGTCAATAATTTAACAAATTACAGCCATGAGGACGAAAATAAATAAAAAGCACTATTTTGAGAGATAAAGGAAGTTTTGAAGTCTAAAAAACATTATTCTCCCAAATTATAGACCAAATAAGCAAAACATACTGTGCCTTGCAAAAGATTTGAAACACTGTACAAAAATCATGAAGGCAAGATCTTTTTCATTTTAAAAATATTGAATTTCTTTATTGTCAGCCAGAACTTACCAGATAAAAAATAAATATTATACAAGCATTCATGGAGATAAGTACAACACCATTTTTATGTGTGTCGGTGCATCGTGCCATATCACTACATCTGCAATAAATGGTTTCCGAAATAAGATATAGATCTTCGTGGAATGGCCGCCTACAGAACTGGACCACAAACAAAATATCAATGGAATATTATGAAAAGAAAGATTACGCTAATGGAAATTACAAGCACAGATTATTTGAATAAAGGAATAACGAACATTTGAACAAAATAAGTCAACGATGATTTGTGTAAAACTCTTGCAACATTATTGATGTTCAGAGTTGAGGCAATCATCGAAAACAAATGCCTTTGCTTGTAAGTAATAATATATATTTCTTTTCTCCCGTAAGTATTTGCAAAAAATAAAAATTTGAAAATGGAGTTTCGAAACTTTTGCAAGACGCTCTATTTAAGGAATAAATGAAGAAACTAAAATAATTTTCTTTTATATAAATATAAGTGGACATTGAGACAAATATCGAGTGACGACAGTCTGTCTCATGCGTGAACGCAATCTTCAGAGCGTGTGTGTTGTATGTTGGCTCGACTGTCCTGGTCAATGGAGTATTATGGGCACCAAGGACAGATATTTTCGGCTTATTCTATCCATAAGGCCCAATTTTCTAGTAAATAATAAATAGCTGTGCCAACACACATGGCCTGAGGATTACGTTCCCTTATGAATCAGACTGTCGCCACTTGGTGTTAACCTCAGTGTCAATTCTTATATTTACATACGTTCTATCTATCCATGATATTGAGCAATTTTACCGATAAATATAGTATAACGTAAAACAATGTTTTCTATATATATATATATATATATATATATATATATATATATATATATATTTCAAATTTGACGGAATAAAAGATACAGGGCAATATTAAACGCACAACCTATTCGGGAAAATCTGTGTAAAGTGTTTTTAAGTGTGTAATGTTTAAAGCAGAAAATCAGTCCAAAACTTTGTAAAAGCCATTTTAAAAATTTTCAAACTATTTCAACGCCACCTTGGATATACCTTGATTGAGTGATGAAAATATTTGAATATTGGATCAAAGCTTCGTTAATGCTGAATAAATGTGAAGTTAGTTTAGTTTTGAGTGAAAAGTTTATGAGCAACGAGAATGTCTTACAGAAACCAGAAATAAGACTAAAGCTTATACTTACACATTTCTGGAATACATAATGAGTAGCGCTTGGAGAATTTAACACTTACACGATACACTGAAGTCAAAAGAAGCAAGAGAAAACAGTGAGTAAGTTTCTTAACGAGTTTCTACGAACAGATGGTAGAACAGTACAAAGTGGGGTGGTAAAGGGTAAAAAAGGCGGGAAGTTGATGAGATCCATGATCGAGTACACCTTGAAAACTTGGCACATAAAAAATAATAAAGTTTTATGTAGTATACTTTATTCGGACCTAGACACCTGAATAACAACATACATCCCCGTAAGAATTAAATGATTTAAAAAATCATTATGTAGTTTTCTAGTTTGTTTACATTTGTTCTAATTTATGAGAATGAAAGAATAGCACAAAGCAAATCTTGTTTTGAAACTGAAATCTTTTTTCTTTTATTAATCAGTGTGTCTCGCGAGAACAAGCTAGACCTCTAGAGTCATAGGTAACTCACTGTAGGAATGGGATCACAGGAACCTAAGTTGTTTGATGTTCTTTTAGACTGTTTATCTATTTGTGTCGTTTGAGTAAACATTGTGTTTCATTAGGAGGTTTACACCGAACAGCTTGCGTAGAAAGTAAACATATCTCACGGCAACCAAAAACTTTAAAAGTACCTTTTGATATTTTTGAATTGTTTCAGGATTACTTCTGGTCTTTCAATCTCCTTTTCTGTATGTATAAAAGTATGTGTGTGTGTACGTGTCACACGATTTTCGTACATAATGGCTTTAGCGTTATGTGTATAAATGGGTTGGAGCATATTGCATACAAACACATGTGTGCTATATATGCAATATACATATATTATGAACATATATACAAGAGAGTTTTTTTTTTATTTTGTCGTGCATATAGGTTTATACAAATTGTGATTTACAGTTTGTATGTGCACAATATGTGTGAATGTATTTAAAGTTGTTTTTCGTAAGTTCTACTGACTTGTACATTCCAAACTTGCAAACCCTGCTAATAGGATGTGGTCTACTGAATGGCCTGTTTACTAAAGCCAAAAAAACAAATAAATATATAAGCGGTATATTTGATATTTTAAATTTAAAACTTCCGTTTAAATTTATTTTTCATTTTATCCCTTTACAGAACTCAGAATTATTCGCATACGTTATTTAAACGATGTCATTATATTTAATGATAACGGTATATGGAATGATAACGGTATATTTAATAATAAAGTGTGCATATATGGTGTGCGTATCGGATAACCGGCATTGTAAATGCAATTAACACTTCACGTTCACATTCTAGCCCAGGTAGTCTCTATTCGATTAGTAATAATTTATTTGAGAAAACTATGTATTCATCTTTCTCGGCATTGTAATCCAATAAAAAATTATGTCATAGGATATATATATATATATATATATATATATATATATATATATATATATATATATATATATATGATGGACTCTTCCATCGATCTGACAACTCAGTTTTTATGTTTGTGCCGCATGTTACACTTCAGTCCCCTCGTGACTTGCATACAAGTCCACATATTTGTGCCACAGCTAAGATCTCAGTACATAGCAACAGAAACATTTGCTGACGCTTTCCGCCTTTGTCTTTTATGTCTTAGCCGGTCAATACGACTAATTTAAACATTTCTGATACACACACACACACATATATATATATATATTAAGCCAAATTTCATTAAATAATTTAGACATGTTCTGACTACTTATTCTCGATAGAATCCTTTCATACTCACGAATGAGCTTTTTCTGTGGTTATACATACAATATGAACCAACACGGCGTTTTCTTCTCGTTTTTCAATAATATATATATATATATATATATATATATATATATATATATATATATATATATGGGGGGTGCGTGCGTGCGTGCGTGCGTGCGTGTGAATTAAATTTATTCATTTTCGAGTGTCTCTACTCTGGGTTTCGCGGAATCGCATCCACTCTTCAGGAGACTTGAAGATAAATGAAACATTAATATAAGCGTACTAATTCAGTTTATCATATTATTATTATTATTATTATTATTAATGTCCTTGATATGGAGTACTATATATATACAAAGACTCTTTGCCTTAGAGACATTATCTTCCGGAATCGACCGTTTTTTTGTTTTTTTTTATCGAAATACAGTATGGTGTTTTTCGTTTCTCATTGTTGAACAGAGTTTTTTTTCTTTTTTAACAAAATTTGGAATACATACATTTCACGATACCATATTGAGCAGAAGAATTTAAACATCTAATTGCAATATAATTGAAAAACATTTCTTCGAAATAAAGAGACCACACGAAGCTTTTGTGGTTTGACAATTTATTAGACGCAATTTTTAACATGCTGTCTCGCATTTAACTTAAACAGAAGAAAATGTGAACATGATTTTCACTGGTTGATTTCAATATTTTGAATATGTTGAATATCTTACATAACCTTTATTTTATTTACTTTTATTTAACAAACACAGCGATCAGAAAAACTATATATATATATATATATATATATATATATATATATATATATATATATATATATATATATGTGTGTGTGTGTGTGTGATATACTTTAAAAACTATAAGGTCAGATAGAATACGCGACCTTGGTTTCGACCTCACGGTCTCATCAGGCTAATTCTATCAACTGACCACCCAAACGCTTTATTTAAATAAAAAAAACACAAAGAATGCTACATTATTATTTTTCAAAAATAAATAAACAAACGCACGACAGTCAAACACATAATATAGAAAGGAATTGGAGAAGTAGAAGGAAACGAGGAAGGGTGAAGAGAATAAGAGAAACGAGGAAGGGTGAAGAGAATAAGAGAAACGAGGAAGGGTGAAGAGAATAAAGAGAAAAGAGAATAAGAGAAAAGAGAAACGAGGAAGGGTGAAGAGAATAAGAGAAACGAGGAAGGGTGAAGAGAATAAGAGAAACGAGGAAGGGTGAAGAGAATAAGAGAAACGAGGAAGGGTGAAGAGAATAAGAGAAACGAGGAAGGGTGAAGAGAATAAGAGAAACGAGGAAGGGTGAAGAGAATAAGAGAAACGAGGAAGGGTGAAGAGAATAAGAGAAACGAGGAAGGGTGAAGAGAATTGAAGAGAATAAGAGAAACACTTGAAGAGAATTTGAAGAGAATAAGAGAAACGAGGAAGGGTGAAGAGAATAAGAGAAACGAGGAAGGTGAAGAGAATAAGAGAAACGAGGAAGGTGAAGAGAATAAGAGAAACTTTTCTTTTCTTTGAAGAGAATAAGAGAAACAAAGAGAAAAAATGTAGAAAAGAAAAGAAAATTGTATCGTAAAATCATTTTACGTAACGTGGAAGATTTTGCGATACAAGGAAGGCTTTTCTTTGTCATTTTTAAAAATGTATAAAAAATATGGAAGGATGTAAAAATATATGGAAGGATGTAGTGTGAGGAGCAAACGTATTTTAAATATAACAGTGGTGTTTTAAATTACATTTTTTTAACCGGCCTTATATTCACTTGATAAAATTTTTTATATGACTGCAAGGACTTAAGATTTCGGATCTCTGGTTTAAAATGTTTTTTCGATCTGGAAATATCATAATCGCTAATTTCTCATGTTGACAAAATGTAGCAAATGCGGATATGATTACTGTATGGGTTTACCTTTTTAAAAATTTTCCACCTTATGAACGGGTCCCTGTTGTTTATTTCTTTTAAATTCCACATATGGCTAGCAAGTTTGGTGTAGTATCTAAGATTTGCTAGCTTAAACGAAGATCTATGATTATAGCATCTACGCTTAAAAGAACGTTCTGTACAATCCATATACGTTTTATTTTTACCATAATATCAGTTACTTCTGCTTTATAAATTATGGCTTCTGTTTTACAAGCCCCATTTAATTGGCATCTAAACTTATTTCTGCAGTTGCATAAATAACTAGTGTTATTTTGCTGCACGTTATTTTTGAGATCTCTGGTATTTTCTTTATTTATTATTGTACTAGTGCAACTGTAGCTTAATTTAACTGTATTTTTATGGAATATCTTATGTAACTCTGATTTTTGGGGGAAGTGCTTATTAAGCAGCTTGAAATTTAATTTACCTATTTTACATTTTACCTTTAAGTTAAAAGAGGGGTTAAACCAAATAGTATTTTTCTTTTCCTCGAATTCTTCTTCGTATGGGGTTTAATTTGCTGAGGTTTATATTCTAGTTTGGTTTTGTGGCTCTCTACAAATTCTTCTCATATTCTTTTTTTAACTCAAAAATTGTTCAACAAGAAGAGTTTCTGGATAACCTAGACTCTATTCCTTTGGGGAATATGTTTAATGAGATTCGGAGGGTGGTTGGATCTAATATTTACATATTTCAACTTTGTGTTAGGTTTCATATACGGGGAGATACTGCCAGTATGAAGGTTCAATTCTACATCCAGATAACGGTTTTTTTTTTATTTGTATCAACTTCTATTTAAAAACCGAGGCTTTTAAAGTTTAAAGCTCTACATATTATTTTACCTTTTTTTTTTTTTTCACACGTGTATTGAGCATGATTTATACTACTCTTTCCTGGTCTGATTCAACTCTGACTATTAACCTTATATATATATATATATATATATATATATATATATATATATATATATATATATTGAGAGAGAGGGGGAGAGTCTGCCAAAAATGTATACACATTTCTGGAAAGGAAAAACTTGTATTTCGTAGTTTTAAGACTTTTTACCTATGAGGGACCCTGATGTATGTCTATCATCTCAGAAAACTGACTACAATGGCGGCCCTTAGACAAGAAATTGAAAATGCGTGTGCAGCAATAATACTGGACGCTTTGCAGGCGTCTTTTGTGATTGCTGAATTCAAAAGGTAATTTGTATTAATCCTGTGATGTCTGAAAAGTATTACAAATATATATACAAGTTTTTCCTTTCCTGAATTGTGCCTCCATTTTTGGTGTACACACACACACATATATATATATATATATATATATATATATATATATATATATATATATATATATATATGTGTGTGTGTATTTAGGCAACATTTTTCATTCATACATGTTTCATTAAATAACATAGACAAGTGCTGTCTATTTATTTTATGTAAATTCTTTTCATAGCGTCTGATAAGCTTAATAACATTATCATTAAACGAAGAAAGGAAATCACTATATTGATCCATATTTTTTAATCCAATCTAAGCTTTCGGCTTACATAAGCCATTATCAAAAATGTCAATTACTGTACAACATATTAAGCAATATATGGACAACACAGTGATGATATATTGTGATCTTCTTTCATCGTTTAATGATATTGTTATTAAGCTTATCAGACGTTATGAAAAAATTTACATAAAATAGACAACACTTGTCTATATTATTTAATGAAACATGTATGAATATATAAATATATATATATATATATATATATATATATATATATATATATGTGTGTGCGTGTGTATTAACAGAATTGAAAAAATGCGTGAAAATGATTAGAATTTAACTTCTTTTCAGTCTAGTAATACTACCAAAAGAGCTCAATTCATAGCTAGAGCTAAAAAAGTTCAAAATAAAATCACTTGAGATTTTTTGATTTGAATATATATATATATATATATATATATATATATATATATATATATATATATATATATATATATATATATATATATATATATATATATAGAATGAACGTCATTCTTTTACCTGAGGGACTCTTTCGGCCAGCACAACATAAAAGGTTAACTTTGGCGAGAAGCAAGAAACAATCAAAGACACATTAGTAAATATGCGGTACATTGATGACCCCTTTTCTGCTTGAGACGCCATTGATTTTTTGCGGAAACAATTCTCTCCATCCATCCCTTCAATTCACTATGGAAGTTGAGAGTAATGGCACTTTACCCTTTCTAGATGTTCTCGTAGAACGTAAGCATGGTGTTTCTGTCACCAGTATCTTTCGTAAACCCACTTTTACAGGCTCGTACACAATTTGGAACTCTTTTGTTCCTAAGGGCCGCAAAATTGGTTTAGTTTATACCCTGATTCACTGCGCGTTCATGATTTGTTCTCCTAGCTTGTTAAACGGAGAACTTGCAAGGATCCAAGAATTTTTTGAAGGTTATGGTTATGTAACAAATGTCATTAAACGCGTTATTGGTAGAAAAATTAAACGGTTTAAAGAACCAGTGGTTCTACTACCTAGTCGGTGCCCAATTTACCTGAAGTTGCTTTGGTCAGGCAGGAAGTGCTCGCTGACAGAATTTCGGTTTGTGTTGCTTCGTGCTACGACACTGTCAAGTTGCGTATTGTGTTTCAAACGAGATCCACGTTTCTATCCTACAGCAAGGATCGGCTGTCCTATTTTCAAAATAGTTCAGTAATAAATAAATTTAAATGCCGTTTTGACGCGGTGTATATAGGACAGGTGAATCAAAGGCCGGAAAACACGTATTACGCAACACGTGCCTTCCTTTTTGCGTTCTAGTAGTCAGAGTCGTGTTAAAAAAAGCCACTCCTCCATTTGGCAGCATTTACTGGACAATCCTGACTGTGCCGCCGATTATAATAACGCATTTTTTTCCATTTTACATAGTGCTCGCTCGGTTCACCATTTTCGAGTTTTTGAGGCTCTTTATATAAAGTTTCATATGTCGAGCATAAGGAACATTCTATTCGTTTCTTACGTTTGATCAAAAGATTATGAGTTACATTTTCCATTTTATACTCTTTTTGGGACTTCGTATTTTGTTTTCAGTTGTTAATTTATTTATAATTAAAATCTACTTTAAGGACCCCATAGGTAAAAAACTACGAAAAACAAGTTTTTTCTTTCCTGAAATGTGTATACATTTTTTGGGAGATTCTTTCTCTCTCTCTCTCTCTCTCTTTCTCTCTCTCTCTCTCTCTACACACACACACACACACACACACACACTTATATATATAATGATTTATTTTAAAATTATAAGATAAATATGTTATAAAATCACTACAAAAATAGCCATTTTGTTTCAACACCTCCGGTGTCTTATCAAGTGATAATGTTGATATCTTATCAAGTGATGATGTTGAAACAAAATGGCTATTTTTGTAGTGATTTTATAACATATTTATCTTATAATTTTTAAATAAATAATTATATCTGCTCTACTATGTATTAAGCACTCTTTTAATTGTTGGTTATTGGAATTTATTCGTATACACCAATATACACTTAATATATATATATATATATATATATATATATATATATATATTTTTTTGACAACATATATATATATATATATATATATATATATATATATATATATATATATATATATATATATATATATATATATATATATATATATATATATATATATATATGCATGTTGTCAAAATCATAAAAGCTAAAAATGAAATAATAAAGTTTTATTTAGTATCCTTTATTCGGACCTAGACACCTGAATAACAGCATACATCCCCGTAAGAATTAAATGATTTAAAAAATCATTATGTAGTTTTCTAGTTTGTTTACATTTGTTCTAATTTATGAGAATGAAAGAATAGCACAAAGCAAATCTTGTTTTGAAACTGAAATCTTTTTTCTTTTATTAATCAGTGTGTCTCGCGAGAACAAGCTAGACCTCTAGAGTCATAGGTAACTCACTGTAGGAATGGGATCACAGGAACCTAAGTTGTTTGATGTTCTTTTAGACTGTTTATCTATTTGTGTCGTTTGAGTAAACATTGTGTTTCATTAGGAGGTTTACACCGAACAGCTTGCGTAGAAAGTAAACATATCTCACGGCAACCAAAAACTTTAAAAGTACCTTTCGATTCTTTTGAATTGTTTCAGAGATTATTTCAGGTCTCTCTAACGTTCACCTTTTGAGAAAGTGTTGGCTGAAAGGGTCCCTTCAAGGTAAAATAATGACGTCCATATTGTTTAAGTCTATTTTCTTTATCTGTGGTTACAAGTCTTTGTATGATCTTCTTAGTAAGTTCGACTGAAGTAATGCACATTTTAATAACATTCCTTAGAGCAAATTCGTTTTGTTTGTTATTATATTTCCATGCATCTGATTTCGACAAAATATATTAATATTCAATCTTACTAAAAACATTAAATTATTTACTTCAATACGGTTGCAGATGCTAGAAACACCTGCGACACGAAAGAAAAGTCACTTTCACACCGCCGTAACATATCTCCCTGTACCTTTTCTATAAATGGTAACTGAAATGAGCTTTTATCTTTGGCACCTCAAATTTAAGAATTTAAGTGCAGAAGTAGATTAGAAGTTGAATCACAACATTTTACAGTCGAAGCGGCTAGATGTAACCGTAAGTTCTATCCTAACAGTTTCTTTTCTCGCACTTCTCAGTTGTCAAACTCTCTTCCAGCTTTTTGCTTTCCAATCAATCTTGATCTTCAAACATTTAAATGTAATCTCAATCGTCATCTTTTGTCTTCTTATTTCCTGTTCATTTATTATTCTCTCTCTTTAATAATGTTTGTTTCTTTTTTCATATTATTTCACACTCAATAATCAGTAGCATCTTAGTGGCTTTATTGCCTTGAAATGATTGAAAAAAGAATCACTTCATGTTCATATTTAGACCAAAAACTAGAAAGCTAGTTCTACCAATGTATATCTATCACATTGACCTATCTCTTTCTGTTTCTATCTGTCTCTGTTTCTGTCTGTCTGTCTCCCTATCTATCTCTATCTGCGTGTGTGTGTGTGTGTGTGTATATATATATATATATATATATATATATATATATATATATATACTTTCGTCACAAGCCTCTCTCTTCTCTGTCTCTACATTCCTTAGTTTTACCACTTCTAAAGGTCACGTAGCAACCCCCCACCCTTAGTTCCTCGGTATTCCCTTGGTGAGAAGTCAGTTCTACTCGAGCAACTTCTCCCGCGAACTACTGCTATGTGGAACCGACTCCCAAGAGGATATTTTCCTGATCATGATAATATTAATCTGTTCAAGCCCTGTTTAACCGTTATCTTCCCCACCTAGCCGCATAGATTGTGCGTCTTACACAGTAATCCTCTACTTCGAGTGGCTCCCGGGCCTTGTACATCACTGCAAAAAAAATAAGAAAAAACAACTTTGTATCGCAGTTGTTTTCATCATCTAAAACCAAGAATTCGGACCTCGCATCTGGGATATACCTCAACCTATTAACGTAAGGACTATGATACGTTGTTAGCCTAAGTTCGGGCCCATTGATTTTCTTAGAAAAATACATCTGCTCATAGATGGTAACTCTGTAATAAAATAAAAATGCTGACTACCATAATCGACAAATCGTGAAATAGCAAATACAGCTGCGTCAACTTTATTGCGCCATTTTACAGTGTTAAGAAAAAAATGGTTTAAACAAATGTATCCGGAAACAATTCATTTTAAAGATGATATACTATAAAGTGTTAGCTCTTCGAAATGAATATTTGAAGTTTATTTAGATAAATGATATAAAATGAATTATCTGTAAAATAATTACGATTATTATTAAAATGACAAATACAGTGGAACTTCGATTCACGAATTTAATTTATTTCTGAAGGCCGTTCGTAACCCGAAATGTTTGTAAACCGAAACTATTTTTCCAATAGGAATCAATGTAGAAAAAAAAGTAACGGTAAAATAAAACTGGAAAAGAAAAGCACAACACAACATACAACACGGCGCTCGCCTCAGAAATTCCGTTCGGCCATGTTGTTCGAGAACCGAAATTTTGTTCGCTAACCAAGGCATTTTCATTTGAAATTTTCTGTTCGAAACCAATTTGTTCGATATGTGAGACGTTCGAGAACCGAGGTTGCACTGTATATTGAACATTTAGTCATGCGGTTTTCTTTTCTTTGACCTCTTGAAACTTGACATTTGGTAGCAGAAAACAAAACGTATAAATGTCAAAACATCTTCGGTATTCAAAAACAGGTTTTCCTTGAGGAGAAAAAAAATTAAACTGGATTCTTATAAAATATTAATGATATTAGCGAATGAATTTTAAAATGAATGACTCTTTTGAAACCAATAAACAAAACAATATTAAAATCTAACAAAACGTTTATATTTAGTCGTAAACTCAAATTCCAGTTATAAAATGAATAAAATAAAATACAGAAAAATAATTTAAATATTTAAAAATCAGTTTTTGGTTGGATTTTTCTTCCGTTGAATTTTTGACAAAGATCGTCTTTCTTTCAGTTTCATCCAAAATGTCTGATGCGTCGAGAAGAATTGTTCCCCAATCGCAGTTGAAATTTGATTAATTTTTTTTGTTTCTTTAACGGTATATCAACATCTGAGTTATTTAATGCCGAAATCTAAATATTTTGTACACAGTTTTATTTTATTTTTTGAGCTAATAGTGGTTTCGTGATATAAGTCTTACTACTTAACCCATAGCTGAGGGGAGAAGATGTGAATTTATACCCCCCCTACCGAAGAGTACTCGTACGCAAGTGAATATAACGAACCCATTCCGAATTAGAACTCGGTCCCCTGATTAATAATTTCGAGTCATTATCCATTACCCCACCATAAATCGAAGTTTACAGAACCTGGTATTCCCAAGCAGTAATCCATCTAGGTAGTGATCAGGCTCGACGTTGCTTAACTTCGGTGATCGTACGGGGACCAGTGTTTGAACGTGATGTGGCTGTAAACCTGAAATAATTAAATAAAAGACAAGATTTTAATAAAGTGTTGAAAGGAAATGACTGAAATTTTGGCCCAAACCACAAGAATTGGTCACCGAGTGAGGATCGAATTTAACACGAAGTAGTAACGATCTGAGGGACAAGCTTATTAATAATGTTTTTTTTTTCTTTTTCTTTTTCTCATATGAATTCACACTCAATAATCAGTAGCATCTTAGTGGCTTTATTGCATGACAAAATGTCCGCAAATGACTGAAATTAATTTTATCAATTTTTAAATCACTTTCATCATTGAACGCTTGAGAAATAAAAATAGGTTAATGAAAATGTTTAAATTGTTTAAAGCACATACACGCATACTCGCAAGCTCTCATGCACACGCACACACACACGCAAGTACAAACCCACACAAACACACCAAAATTTGGAAAATTTCAGAACAATGATTTCCAACAATACTATAGTAAAATGGTAGTCCATTTTACTATAAATTTGTGGTTGACTAAAAGCAGAGCAAATTTGTTTACTAAAAGATAGCGATGGTATCAAGGTTTTAAAAATATTTAACTCGGATGTATAGGTAACTTACAGTGTTTTTTTGGCATACATACATACAAACATACATACCTCTATGTACGCTTGCGAGCGCGCACCCGTGCGTGTGTGTGTGTATTTGTAGATGCGTGTGGGTGCATAATTTCTAGAACTCAAAATATTTCTCTTAAAAATCATCGAAAAGCGAAAACAGATTGGGGACTAGAAGTTTTGAGATGAAACTCCATTTTCGATTTTTTCCTTATTATGATTTTTTATTGAATAAATATTAAAATCCGTCTGAGACCGAAATCTTTTGGTACATGGAGCATGTTAAATTACTTGATTTAATTTTTGTTTTCATACTTGATGGCGCTGCTGTTAGCCTCATTTTGAGAAGAAATATTTCTACCATTTTTATTTTAAGTTCTGCATGAAAAGTTGTTTTTTTTTCTTTGTTAAGAAATTGCTTTTTTATTTGCAGTTCTCTTGTACAAATTCACGCTGTAATATGTTTGATGACAGCTCCACTTACCTTTATAAGAAGTGATGATAAAAAGTATATACAGACAAACCTCTCATCAACGGACTAATTGGGGAGAAGTGGTCCGTTGAATCCAATTGTTCGTAAATGGGAAGGGATTATTTTTGAGTTATAAAACCACTATAGTAACTACCATAATGTAGATGCTATAAACATATATATATATATATATGGGATAAATAAATATATCGCATAAAAAATGAAATTAAAAGTTTGCTTTTTGAAGATAAGGATTTGCTGCTGATGTTCTTTTGACAGCTATTACCATTTTCTTGGCAGGAGGGGAGGGGCGCTATCAATAATGTTCTCTTTGGTGTCATCATTCTTATTGTTTTAGTTTCCCTCTTCCAACTTCTTAGAATGCACCATTGAATTACACTCCCCCAGCTGGTGATCATTACTTCTTAAAAATCTTACTTATTACTCAAATACATTTCTTATTACTTTTAATACTTCTGCCTGGTTTAAGATTTGATATTTCTCAATTTTAACAACATATTCACACATCTGTACCTACTATTAAGAAAACCAACACGCGCCACTAATGGCGTAGGTTGGTACGCTTTTTCCCGGATGTTAAAACGATAATAATCTTAATTAATGTATCAGGTTCAAATGATCCGCCCAAAGGAAGTGTTTTTTCCATAGTAACTTTTTCATAGGAAGCTTCAGTTTTCCAAGTTAAAAATGTTCCATCTAGTCCTAGTATCCGTTATCTGTCTGTGTGCTTATCTATCTATCTATCTATCTATGAAAGATATGATATACAAATCTATATTAATACAAAATGGAAAAAAAAAAACTCATGCGTTTCGTAAAAAATGGAAAAAGAAGTAATGCGTTTCGTCCCTGGAAGGATATTATTCAGACCAATAATGATTTTATTGATAATTTATATTTTTATATTTTATATATATATATATATATATATATATATATATATATATATATATATATATATATATATATATATATATATATATATAATAAAACAGTTAATATTTTTATATATAGTGCTCTATATTGAAAATATTAAAATAATATTAAAAATAGGGCATTAATAATATTATATAAAATGATTACTTAACTTTTAAATATCACTTTATGTAGTTGTTTTACTCGACTTCGAAGTTTCTTGGTAAATATCCGTTCTTCGCGGGGTGCTCTGGTTTTAAATGATATTCCACATTTTTAAAGTTATTTTCGCGTCTTTTTCAATCCGTTTTGTACACGTGTGCATTCATGAATTTAACGTTGTCATAGTCGGGAGTGAGAATGGGGACAAACAACCACTATCTATAAAATGCTTCTGTGGCATGCATTTCAAATAGCCTCTGACAACTCCAAGCTGGGGAATAGGCAAAGACGGGCAACTTGCGCCTCATAACCAGCAGCTACGGGTAGATGGGGTTCGACAGGCCAAGAAGGCAGTTCATTTAGGGGAAGGAAAACCCTGATTTTAAACCTCCCTTGCCTTACGATCATATCCAAAACACAGAAAAGGCTATAGAAGTAAATCCAGACAGAAAACCTGGTGTCGAGCCCCGAAGTGATGTTGGCTGCCAACACTAACACCTTTGCAGCAACTCCTTCAGTAAAGCCGGCCCCAAATGTAATGTCTTGTATTCCTTTTGATCTTGTCGTTGCGGTCGAAAGTGGAGCCATTTAATCTGGACAGCGCACGCCCTCTACATGCCATTGCCCAGTCTACCTGCTTCTCGAGCCGACATGGTTAAATGGGAGGGGGTAATTCTATAGATGAGGGTATATTTTTGATATAGAATGTACGATTAGCAACATCTGCCAAATATGTGTTTCATGAATATAGCGGTGTTTATAATACTGCTTTAAAAATAGTGGCTACAAGTACGCTGAAATCAAGTATAGAAAATATGATAATACTGATCTAAGGAAAAGAAATAGGAATAGGAAAATCATTTGGTACCCCCCCCACATTTAATCAATTGGTCAGAAATTACTTCGGCCAGAAGTTCCTCCATTTAATTGATAAACATTTCCCTAAGAGTAAGCATCTTAGTAAAATATTTAACAGAAACACACTAAAACTAAGTTATAGCCTCACCAATAATCTTGAGAAGATTATAAAGAAACACAATAATAAAATTTTAAACCAACTTAAAAATGTGGATAATAATGCACATTCCAAGATAAATACTGTTGATAATATTAACCAATGTAATTGCAAAAATTCTAATGAATGCCCATTACGAAACAGATGTTTGGCCAACTCTTGTTTATCTAAGTACTATTTCTACAATAGAGAATCCGGCTGTTGAAAAATTTTATATTTGTAGTACTAAGAATTCTTTTAAGACTAGGTGGTACTAACGTATCTTATCCTTCACCAATAGTACATATACATCTCTTTCTAAACATTTTTTGAAATTTAAATGAAGCTAATAAAACGCCTAAAGTAAAATGGAAATTTTTTAAGAACGCTAGAACATATAGATCTTTAAATGAACTCTGTTTTCTATGCTTACATGAAAAATTAGAAATTATCAGATTTTCTGATAAAATCTCCTTATTCAACCAAAGAAGTGAATTGACAGTAAAATGTAGGCATAGTCTACCTTTTACCTTACAATATGTTTAAACTTTGAATTCGATAATACTTTTTCTTATATTAATAATCAGCAGATGAACTGCGGTGCACCTTATATAGCTTACTATTCTATTTGTAAGATTCATTTTGATTTAATATAGCACTGTATTGATGTTTAGTTAGTATTATTTAACTCTTACATTGATTAGTTAGTATTATTAACATCTTATTTACTAGTTTTATAAAGGAGCCTTTTATTTATCAACTACAAAATTTTATGTACGAAGCGTGCCGAGCATATAATTAGTTAGCATTTTGTTAAATTACCTCCTTACTTCTTTCGCTTTTACTTTTTAGGAAAGGTGAGCACCAGAGTTCTATACATCTTACGAAATAATGTTACCATTTGTATCTGTCCATAATGAAATTGTCTAGGATGTATATGAGACAACAACGTGTCATATCCTATATAATAATTTTTTTTTAGTGTTTGAATTTAACGTAGGTCATTCCAGACCACTCATACTTTCGTCTCCGCCTATCTCTCCTCAATGCTGTAAGCTACCTCTTCTTCCTCTATCGCTCTCCATCCTCCTAAGACTGTGGTGTACTCGAAAGCATTTCCGACAATATAGTCAAGGTTTTCTCTCTCTATCCGTTTGTTCATATATTCGTGTTCGGGGACTTTAACGCCCATCATACCAAGTGGCTTAAAAACCCTATAACTGACCTGGCTGACATACAAACTCTTAACTTTTCTATTTCTCAATCTTCCCACACGTTTCTCCAACAACCTGAGCGGTAAGGCTTGATCTCTGTTTCACCTCCATCCCGAGTCATGTCGCGCCTCGCAGCTCTGCCCTCTTGGTAACTCATCATGCTGTAGTGTCTGTCAACATCTACTCTATCCCCAGCAAAGAAGCTCCTTCCAACAGAACATCTTTCTGTTATCAACGAGCAGAATGGGACTCGTTCCGGGATTTCCTTTGCGATGTCCCCTGGGATATGGTCTTTAAGCTCTTCCGAGGTCTCCTCATGGGTAAATGCTGGAATCGATGCCTTCATCCCCGCTAAGAAATATAAGGTTAAATCGATAATGCTCTTCCCCTTGATTCTCTGCTGCTCGCTCAGCTGTCATTGCCCATAGGAATCACTTCTTCCGCCTATATCGAAGTGACATGTCAGATCGCAACAGATGTCTCTTTGTCTCAGCCCGTAACGAGTGCAAGAGTGTCCTCAATGAAGCAAAGTCACTATTTGCTGATAGAATCAAACAACGAAAATTCGGCTCCAAGGATTATTGGCGTCTCTGCAATAGCGTACTTAACAACAGTAAACCTTCAATACCTCCTTTGTTCAACCAATTTGAGGTCCTGACCTCCTCAGCTGATAATACTGAATGTTTTGCTCGGAAATTCTTTTCCAAAACAACGCTCGACTCATCCGGTGTACCCACAACCGATTTCCCCCTAGAAGCGAGGCTCTATTGATCGAGATGCACATAACCCCATCGTTGGTCTTGGACATCATCTCAAAATCAGACTCACATCAGGCTAGCGGTGGAGACGGGATACCAGTCATTGTCCTGAAGAAGTCTGCTCCTGAACTGGCTCCTCTCCAAATTATATAACTACTGCCTCAATGAATCTTGCTTTCCAGCCTGTTGGAAGTCCTCATCTATTGTACCTGTCTTTAAGAACTCTGGAGAAGCTTCTGACCCATCTACCTACCGTCCTATCGGTCACCTACCACTCTTCGGCAAAGTCTTTGAAGCTTTAATCAACGCCGAAGTGGTTAATCACCTTATATCCCATGATCTGCTCTCTGATAAACAATATGGTTTTCGCTTTGCCCGTTCTACAGCTGATGTGCTCACGGACATAACTGAAATTGTTTACCAAGCACTCCACAATAACGGGGAAGCTCGTGCCGTGGCCCTAGATATCTCTAAAGCGTTTGATAGGGTGTGGCATGCCGGCCTCCTTCGTAAGATTAAGGGATACGGAATTTCAGGTCGATTATTTGACAATACGATTATTACTGTAAAACCGTGTAATGAAGGTAGTCCTTAACGGATTCTCTTCCAGTTCCTTTCCCACAAGCGCAGGTGTTCCCCAAGACTCTATCCTAGACCGTACTCTGTTCCTTATCTTCATTAACGATCTCCCTGATGTCAATAAATTTCCAAGTAGGCATCTATGCTGACGACACAACTATTTACTCCTGTCTCAATAGCAAGTCTGGTATCGCTGACAAAACTAATCTGACCGTTAGTCTCGAAAAGGACCTCCAATCAGTTGTAGACTGGGGCAGAAATTGGCTGGTTAACTTTAATGCCTCTAAAACAAAACTGCTCCCTATTACTCACCACAGGGAACCATCCCTGCCTCTCATTGGTCTCACACTGTCCGCTAACCGGAAATGGGACAATTACATTGAATCAATAGCTTTATCCACCACAAGGAAAGTTGGTTCCCTGTGTCGCGTCAAAAAGTTTTTCTCGCCCGAGTCCACCCTTCAAATTTATAAATCAACCATTCGCCCTTGCATAGAATACTGCTGCCATATATGGTCTGGTGCCCCCGCTGTTCGCCTTAAGATCCTCGACAAGATCCAGAGACGGATAAGTAATGTGGTTGGTCCTGATCTGGTATCTCGTCTACAGTCGCTCTCTCACAGACGTGCCGTCGCCTCCCTCTGTCCTTTCTACAAATACTTTCACGGTAAATGCTTCGACGAGCTACTTTCGCTAGTTCCCAGACTGCATGAATTTAAACGTGCTACTAGGCTGGCATCACGGTCCCACCCTTTCACTGTCAAAATGGTTAAATCTGGCCGTCTCTTCTACTCCAATAGCTTCTCACACCTCCCGTCTGTGGAATTCCCTTCCTATTAGTTGTTTCCCTGATAGCTATAATCTCCAACTATTCAAATGTAATGTCAATCGACATCTCCAGATGCTCTGACCTATTCCCTGTCCTTCTCTTCATCTTTTCCTCCATCACGCCTCTTTACTCTCGCTCCCACTCTGTAACCCCTTGCGTACTATTGGCATCCGGCCTTGCTTGGGGTGAAATGCTTAAAAAAACGATTGGTTAATCACAGTAAACCGCACAAACCTATTTTTAATTGTTTTTTTTTCTCGAGAAAACAGTGGAAGTATTCTGCTTTTGAAATTAAAATAATCGTTCACTCGCTAGTAGTTTACCATCGCCTGAGCTGATACATTTGTATTGTTGAAACATAATTTCAATTGTGTAGCGATTTTTAACATGATTTTTTTGTTTTAATATCCTAAAATAGGTAATATTTAGCTCTACTCTGAATTGAGCCCTCTTTTAAATTAATTGTTACGGAAAGGGGAATTATACTCCATTTGTTCTCATTTTACTTGTATATATATATATATATATATATATATATATATATATGTGTGTGTGTGTGTGTGTGTGTTTAATAGAGAGAGAGAGAGAGAGAGAGAGAGAAAGCGGAGAAAAAAATGCACCAAATGCCAGAAAACTTTCTACTTCAATTTCAAAAAGAATAATCGAATATACTTATTGTTAAGTATGCTATTTTGTATTATCGACGGAGTTTAAAAAACAAATGAAATAAAAAAACAAAAAAACAAATGAAATAAAAAAAAACAAACAAATGAAAAAAAACAAACAAACAAAAACTAACTGCTGACTTCATACTGTGAGCTGCCGGTTAATAACACGGCTAACGGACTCTCATGGGAGGAAATAAAAAAAAGGGGAGAAAAATACCGAAAATGTATAAAGTGAGACGACCTTTGACCTGTTATCGCCACAAATCTCGTGATTTGAAGTTAAGTATACGTCTGACCTGTCGACGTGGGACATGACGGGAGGGTCATAACTAGCGGTGACCTTTGCCTAATCCTTGTATAATGAGTTAACCTCTAATGGAGAGGACGGCTAGACAGATTCTAAATAATACATATGCAGACTCGCTTAGAGCTGAATAAGCTACTAAAATTCTATTTGTAATCAAAACAAAACTTTTAACACTTTACAGTCCATGGGGGGTTGCTTCCTCCTATTAAAATGTGGACAAAAATCAGGTCAGCGGAGCAAGAAGAAGGCTCCTTTTTTAAAGTATTTGTTAAATCAAATTCTCCTGTTAGGCTTTTTTTTTTATATTTTATTTTAATCTTTTGCAATAGTTTGTAATTAAAATATTATTTTAGTTCAAGTGTTAGTGATTAACATTTAAAACGGCCGGCCAGATATCTTGCGTAAAATTTATTAACTTCATTAACCGATGTAAAAGAAATAAATCACATCGTACGTTGACGTATTAGAGAGACAGAAGGCACGGTGAAGTAATGGATAGTGGCTCGGATTGAGGAATCGGAGAGCCGGGTTCGAATTCCAGTTGAATCCATTATATTCACTTACGTGCTAATACCCTTGGGAAAGGTATGAATTCTCCCGCTAGCTATGGGTAAATAGCAGGACAGTCATGGTTCTATCCTTGGGTGGCAACTGGTCTACCGCAGAAAGAAATAGCAACCTATTGCGGGAAAAAAATCTGCCTCGTCATGTATCGAAAGATACATGATCGCCTAAGCCTGTATCACGCATGCCACATAAGTGACTGACTGACTTTGGCATTGATAGTACAAAGGTCTGTTGTAAAGTTCATAGGGTGACCAAGATAATTATATAATGTAATTGATTCATTCGTTTCTACGACTTAACAGCCTTTGCAGATTATTTAAAGCCAGAAAACATATCTGTAAGATTTTTTTTTTAGATATTAATGGTTTAGTGATACAAGCTTTTGTAATTAACCCATATATGGGGGGAAAGAGATGCATTCATACCTTTTCTCAATGGTATTTGCGCGTAAGTGAACCCAACAGAAATTGAAACGGCCATGCAGTTAACAATTACGAGCCATTAGATTTACATCACCCGTACACCCAAGCTCACAACATCTGGTACTCCCAAGCGATCACCCACCTAGGTACTAACAAGGCTCAACGTTGCTTAACTTAGGTGATCGTACCGAAACCGGTGTTTTAACGTGATGCACGTGGCCTTAAACCCTATAAATGTAAGTAGACATACCATTTGGCAAACTAAAAGACATGCAATAGTACCAGAATACAGCAACCGGTCAGCCTGAAGTTGTATTATGATATTGCGCCCCTTACGATCCCCAATTCCTCCTCCATTTTGATTTTTTTTCCTTTATATTTATGACTTATTAATATGATTGAAATATCTACCCTGGCGAAAATGTCACCTTCAATTTGAAATTTCCCGCTTGGAAGACAAGTGATTTTTGATGAGATTTTTGATACATACGAAAGATAAAGACTGAAGAATATGTTAAAATATGGCTACTTTACCGAAAGTAAATGTAATTTTTACTAGAGGTTTTCGATTCTGTATAATACAACGGCGCTTAATAGTGCAATCTTGACGAACAACAGCATAACTAGATGGTTATGGAAGGCGAAAAAACTAATTTGCCGTGTCTCTTTAGGTCCAAGGTGTGAGCGTAAGAAAGACCAGTCGAACTAGTTTCGGTTGAATATACTCTCTCTCTCTCTCTCTCTCACGTTTGGTGGCGGTGCACCAGCTTCAATTCATAGAGTACTTGAATTTGGCGGGAAGGTCAAAATGTCACGTGATATTCTAGAAGTGATGTGAGTTTATGCTATTTCATGTCAGTCTTGGTTGACGGCGGATGCATCCATGTGACTCTTGTCAATTTAAAAGTTTTTTTTTTTTATTTTGGTTGGGGTGAAGAAAGAGGCGTTATATCATATGAAAATTAACAATTACGTCTCACAAACAAATTCGTTAATGTAATGGGTTAGATTTCCATTAGGTGTTCCAAACGTATGACCTTGTGTCGAGTTAAACACGGCATCAAGCTTAGAATGGTGTTCGTCTTGCAAGCTATCCTCACAAGTCATTAGCTCATATAGTTCTGGTACATTTACATATTTTTTAATCTACCAAATGTTAGTGTCTACTAATATTTATATTTTGGTCAGCCCATGAATATCGTAGTCGATCCTTGTATGGCAGTGTTTCCTGGAACGCATTCCGACCGTTATGATCCCAAATATCTCCCTTGGAAGTCAAGTGGTTTTTATGAGAGTTATGATACAGAGGAAAGATAAAGACTGAATCTTGATTTTAGTTTGAGTTTGTTGTGTTCTACAAAGCATCCTCGCAGGTGTCTGTTCCAAAAAGTAACAGTTTCTCGCCCAAAAAAACCTCTGAGTGAAATTTCCGCATAAATGAAATATGGCGGATATGAGGGTGCTTCAACTATGTGGAGATAGCATGGCGTGTCCTAACTGTAAAGATATGAACAAGTGGAACTAAATGAGCCCATTGAAACACCCCGTTTGAGAATTCCTGATTTATATTATACCTTAATATGTTATGCTTTTGTTATACTGTTCTGATTCCAACTGTTAGATGGCATTCCATTGCCTAAAAGCAATGTTAAATAGTGTTTACCTAAAGGATTCCATAGAGACAAGACATGTCTCGTTTCCCTTTTGGGAGGACTTCTTGGTCCCCAGCGAACCACTATCACATTGAAACTTAATAACGTTAACAAGCAAATTTAAGTCTCTCAGAACCTTCAATAGGATTTTACTCAAACTGTACGCACGAATAAGGACATCTTTCTATAAACATCTTCTTTTACTTTTTTTTATATTCTTTGTATTTAGTTTGCTAAGGCAATAAAATTTTGTCGACGTTGTTGTTATATGTTGCTATTGCTTATTTAATTCCTATCTCCCTTATCTTTCACATAAATATCCACATTTCCCACAAAGTATCTACAATAAACTGGTGATCCCTGAAATTACTACTAAGCCCCTCACCCGAATAAATAGAAAAGGAAATACCAACGAAACAATCTCTAATCTGAACGCTTACTTCGTCATGTATTAAATTGGCCTTCTTAATATCAGTCAATGATCTGAATTAAAACAACTTTAAAAATTTATTAGAAGAAACTTATCAGTCATATGACGCACATAACTCTTTAACTTAAATGCCTCCATCTATACTAAGGCGTTGGTAGCTTTGTCACAAATTAAAATCAAAAATATGTTAAAATATGGCTACTTTACAAAAATAAATGTAATTTTTTTACTAGGGTCCTCGATTCTTGACGAACAACAGCATATCTGGTTATGGAAGGCGAAAAACTAATTTGCTGTGTTTCTTTAGATCCAAGGTGCGAGCGTAAGTAAGACCAGTCGAACTAGTTTCGGTTGAATATACTCCCCACTCTGTCCCCCTTTCCCCCTATCTCTCTCCCTCTCTCTCTCACACTCTCTCTCCCCCACTCTCTCACGCTCTCTATCTCCCTCTCGTTTGATGGCAGTAGTTCTACATTCAAGTGTCCCTTTGTATCAACCTTGTACAAGCAAATGTGTCCCTTTATATTAGCTTTCTATAATCTCGAGCAAATGTTTTGGCCACATACTGTCAAGGGCAATGGGCACTTTGACCTGGTGTAACGGTTAGCATGCTTATCTTGCTAGATCAATTACGACTGAAACGTTTCTCACTGGATGCCCATACTTTCGACCTAGTACTACATCTAAGCTATGATTAAAAAACTACTATAGTGTCAAGGGCAATAAAAAAATCATATAACTTAAAATGTTTTTGGCACTTAAATATAACTTAGTAAAATGAGAATTAAAATTAGTTTAGCATCAGCTAAAAAGAAATAAAATTCGCATTTTATTCAATTTGTTTATTTTATTGCCAAATGTCACATGTGTCAATTGAAAAAGTCCGAGAAGTTATTGCTCTCCACGTAGAGAGTAAATACCATATATGGAAATTGCCTCTCCTCTAGGAATAATGCGCTGTAGTGTGCATCAATTTATAAATGGTGTTCTAAAGAGCAAAGTTTTTCGGGGAGACTAAAACCGAGAATTATCTGAACAACACGAAAGCAAAATCGCTATTAAATAGAAGAAAAACTTTTTAAAAAATGGCCAGTCAAGGTCGAAATTAATTCAACTAATATTGTGGCTGTAGGTACTGTCATATGTTGTCTATAACAAAATACTTTATTTGATCAATTTTCAGCTAGATATTTGAAGTTGAAAGCAAACCAAATGAAAATCCGAAAAAAAAATGTAGTAGTTCAAAAAGTGAATGGTTAGTTTCAGACAAAAGTTATTTTCTCAGATGAATGTCGAAATGTTGTAAGAAAACCCCTCAAGCCACGAGTTTCGATATTGCAAAAACAGTAAAACACTGGCAATTACACTATAAGTAGCAGTTCGAGGAAACAGAAAAGTTTAATCATTTTATACAATAGGAATTCAAAAGAACAGTATGACGGCATACTCCAAATATATGAAAATTCGAATATTTTTTTCCAACAGAATGCTGTCATACTTCTTATTTAAAAGAAGAGGGTATCTCACATTTCGAAAATTGGACAAGTCAGTTTTTTCCGACTATTGAAGATTATTTTAAAGAGGAAAAATAAATCTATAGAAGCAAGTGATCAACACTGGGAGATAATGAAATCCACATGGGAAATATTGATCCTTTTGAATTTATATTCTACGCAACAAAAATAATTTTGGCTCGTTTAAATAGTAACAGAGGTAATATGTAGTAGTGTGTAATCTTTATGATTATAATATGTATTACTTTTTGAAATATTTATTCAAGAGTGCCTAAAATCACTAAAAAGTTTATAGTTCTTGTTAAATCTGTATAAACTGTTACAGTGTAACCCGGATATAAGAGACCCGGATATAAGAGAAACCCGGATATAAGAGAGATTTTCTCTGCTCCCAAATTAGAGCCTGTGTTAATGTATATATAATAGACCAAACCCGAATATAAGAGAAACCCGGATATAAGAGACTTCTTCTCCGGTCACGACAACTCTCTTATATCCGGGTTACACTGTATATTCAAAATGTATAGGACAAAATTTCCGACTAATATATTCTCTGATTTGTCGTTTATCTATATTTTGGATTAAGTCGAGAATCACGATTTTAAATTATACTAGGCCATCTATAAACCCGTTGGGTTTCTTTTCAAAATAGTCCATGATACAAAGTGATGAGGTAACAATTTTATTATTAATTACACAATTTCATTTGGAATTCGGCAAAAGAAGGTTTATTGTACCTCTAGGCTTCATATTTAACACGTTGTGTAAAAAATTGGAGTAACAGCTTAAAACAGGTGTAGACTTTTCCAAAATAATATTTAATTTTTATTAATTATTAGTTCATAATAAGTAACAAATTTTAATGAGCCTTAACGCAAATATATCCTGATTTAAAGTATGAAAATAAATTATTTTACATCAATATATATGTTTTATTTCTTTACATTAAAAGATATTTTTTCCATAAAATGTACTTTGAATACAAATTTAATAATTAATACTAACGACGGTAAAAGAAACTTTATTCTCCAACTGGGCTTCATAGTTAACACATTTCGTGAAAATATGGAAAACCTGCTTAAAACAGGTGCAAATGTTTTTAAAATAATAAGAATTTTTTTATTATACGTAATTTGTTTCCTCCTTGGATTTATTTCAAAATAGTAACGGTAGCAAACCAGCGTGTATCTATTTATTTACCATCAAGTCAGGTAGCCTCTTCACCTTTCAAGTACTTGTTTATAAAAAATGTTCTAATGTAGTGTGGTGAATTGTATAAATATATGTTAGGTTATGCAGATTTAAATTTATCTAATAATGTATTATGAATGTTTATTATTTTTCACACATTTTCAGACCGGTAAATGTAATTAATTTTTTTTCTTTTAAACAGAGCATTTACTTAAATAAATTGTATCTAATAAAATAACGTATAAACAGAAAATATATTAAATAGTTGGCATATAATATGCAAGTGTTTGTAAAAAAATGTAAAAACGGAAAAAAAAAACGTCCCTAGCTAAAGAACACCTTGTGTAATTTTAAAGAAATTTGACACTGCACCTGCGACTTATACTACCAATATAGTGAGTGGACCTTGGCTACACATT